CTTGGGTTTGAGTCTAGGCTTGGCCATGTAGCATACTACCGTGTTTAAGTTACTTCACTATCCTGAGCCTCAGTGTTATCTGTTACCATTCATAGGGCACCTGCATGGATGAGCATAAGATGCCACATTCCAACAACACAGTGTCTGACACGAGTTGTATGTTCAGTAATTGCAACCTGTAGTTGTTGTTAACATTAGTAGTGGAGACCAGAATTTATGAAGGTTGAGTTGTCCCAAGGGAAAATAATTACCTTCCGACAAAATACTTGTTACTGAGCATTGTCAAAATAGAAGAAATGAAGGTTTTGAAAGGGGCATGTACATGAGCAAAAGGGTGGTTGCTGGAACTCATGACCCTCTACAGAAGTGCCTTTCGGACATTGCTCTTTAGGTACCTGTGGTGTGTTCCCACTGAGGCCCAGTTCTTGCCTGGCCCCTTTTATCCTGGGGCACCTATTCCCATGCTCTATTTTGGCATGTGTTGCACTAGATTCAGCAATCTTCCCACCATATAATTATCTTCAACTGCTCAAGCAGTAACATAAATAACTTTTAAATAAAGTATTTCATGCTGTATTACCCATGACTAATCATAGAGCCGTTGATTATAATCTCTTCAGCGTCATGGTTTCTGACTCTTTTGTTTATAGCTGATTGGCCAGAGCTTATAATAGTAGTAGGTACTAAATATGTAATGGATAGATAAACAGACAGATGGGTAAAAAAAAAAAAAAAAAAAAAAAATAATAGGAAGATCCTTCCAATTCATGAATTCACCTTCAGAGGTAACTACTGCTGACAGTTTGGAATACATCCCTGCAAACTTTGTCTCACCTTAGAATGACAATATTTGAAATACTTATCTTCCACTTACTAATTTAATAACTCTAATTTCAACTAATAAGTAACCAATAAATAAGAATGTGAAGGTTATTATTACAAAATATTTAAAATAGACAAATGCATGTTAAATATCATTAACGCTTGTATGCAAAAATTTATTTAAGTACTATGTATTAATAAAATATTTGTAAATGTCAAAATTCAACTTACAGATAATTTTCTTTCCATCTTCTCAATATAAAAGTTTAAATGCAACAGTACTAATAGGTACTAACAGGAGGAGGAGCCTGCAAATGTATAAAATCACTTGTGCGACTGTTCTATGTGCTAAAAATGTTTTAAAATCAAACCAAAACAGCCTTCAGGACACATAGTAAATCATATATCCCACTGTAGGCTAGAAGGTAAAACTAGAGCCAACGCCTGTGATTTATGCCGGCATTTTCTCATCCCCCCACATCTTTCACTACACTGCGTGATGGTAGGATTTCATCTGGTAACTGAAATTTTCACCTGAACTCTTTTTTCTTTTTTTTCACCCTAGAATGATATTATCTTTCAAATTACACTCTACAAGAATTCATCACTCTGACAATGTATCATTAATCAAAGTAAAGAGGGTTGATATTGTATAGCATTTTGGAATGGATGACACCTTTTAGAAGTTGAGGTCCAAGAGTAAAAGTTTTAGTTAAGTTAGAGAAAGGATATACTTTACGACCGTGTCAGTGCTGCAAAACTCTAAGTGCCATCATCATCCAAAACCTTGGCGACCCAGCAATAAATATGAATGATAAGGTTGACAGAGCCGTGCCTCCTGATGGGATCCAGAAGTTCCAGCTCAAACAAGTTCACGAACAGTTTAGACCTACGTAACTTTGCAAGTCTGTAAAGAAAAATA